TGGGTGGGGCTGTTTGGTTGGAGGTGGCCTGCTTTTTTTGTCTTTTGGGGGAGGTAAGTTTTGCCTGTTGTTTTTAAGGGGAGAGGTTCTAAACATTGCCAAAATGCTTTGAAATGGCCCCATTTGCACTATATACATTTAACACAGAGGAAACCATGGCTTCTCAAAGTGGACTGAAATGCCCTCCAGCTTCCTGAATCCCCAAACTGGGATGCATGTAATTCTGCCTGTGCTCCTGCGTAAGATCACGGAGCCCCAAACACACGCCTTTTTCACGGCTGTGCTCACACAATGCCCAAAAATGCATGTTTTGGAAGTACCGTGTAGGATCGCAGCCTCACCCCAAATGCGTTTTCAGGGGAAAGCATTTTTTCAGGGTGACATCCCTCCATGAAATTGCACAAAATCATGGCACCCGAAATGACCACCATGCTCTCATACGAGAAAACGGGATATCCCCTTTTTTTTCTGGGATACCTGTGGGTATGGCATGGCAGTGCTTTTAAATGTATAGTGTAGATGGGCCGTATAGTCAGTGTTACTATATCAGTGTGTCATGATTATACATGGACGCGAGTGGCACCGTGATCTAAACCACTGAGCCTTGGGCTTGCTGATCAGAATGTTGGCGGTTCGAATCCCCGCAATGGGGTAAGCTCCCATTGCTCGGTCCCTGCTCCTGCCAACCTAGCAGTTCGAAAGCACGTCAAAGTGCAAGTAGATAAATAGGTACCGCTCCAGCGGGAAGGTAAACGGTGTTTCCGTGTGCTGCTCTGGTTCGCCAGAAGCAGCTTAGTCATGCTGGCCACATGACCCGGAAGCTGTACGCCGGCTCCCTCAGCCAATAAAGCAAGATGAGCGCCGCAACTCCAGAGTCATCCGTGACTGGACCTAACGGTCTAGGGTCCCTTTACCTTTACATTTTTGTTAAAGAAAATGAGGTGCCAGTACTCATATAATGATAAAAGGGGGTAGGTGCCAGCACAAAATGACTTGTTACAGGAAAGTCCTGACTGTACATAAACATAGTAAACATTTTGCAGAAAGACACACATGCCCGATTCTTTCCCCCACAGCAATGCCCGGGATCAGTTTAAGTTCTCTCCCCACTGAAGTTCAGAACATCTCTTTTATTGGGTTTGCACTGGGATTCCTGCCTGCCTTCTCCTGCCTAAGACTACTGTCACCCTCTCATTTGTTCCTCCTCCATAATCATCAAATTGTTAACCTCTATAACATCATTTAGCTCAATGAAACCAAACAGAACACTCTGATTGATTGATTTTGCTTTATCAGTAGCCGTTTAGGCAGGAAGCTCATTTGGAGTGATTTGCTTACACAACAGTTTCAATAATGTTTTGCTACTTGAAATGATTGTGAGGAATGGATCCAGGCAAAGGACAAAGCTGTTGTTCAGATGAGCCAGGCTCAGCATGCAGCAGAACTGGATTTCCAACTCATATAGTGGAAGCTCAGGTTGTGAATGTGATTCGTGCAGGATGCACATTCGCAACCCTCAGGGTTCGCAACCCGCGTCTGTGTGGGTTGCGATTTGGCGCTTCTGCACATGCACGGCCGCCAAAACCCGGAAGTAACCTGTTCCGGTACTTCCGGGTTTTGGCAGTCCGCAACCCGAAAAAATGCAACCTGAAGCATCTGTAACCCGAGGTATGACTGTACTTCTCTTTCTCTTTCTTTCTTTCTCTCTCTCTCTCTCTCTCTCTCTCTCTCTCTCTCACACACACACACACACACACACAGCACATACATTTCAGAGTGAACCACAAAACCATTTGGTTCCATCCAAAATAGATCTGCTGTTTCAGGCCTAGCCATGACCTGGTTCCTGCATTCCCTGATTGCGTTGTACAAGTAATGCAGGTGTGGTTCAGCACCAAGCACTGTTAGTCACCTGCTAATGGCTGGGGAATTAAAAATGCCAGCTCCCATTGTGACCACCACTGCTGCCACTGTCACCAGCTAAGCCTGCTAGAAAGCAGTGGGGTGGGGGCACTATGCCCAGGCCTTTAGACCCTGTCATGGCCTTCACTAAAAATGGCCACAACAACACTGAATTGTCTGCCCAGTGATAAATTATTGTGTTTCTTGTGTAATTGTGCTTCTGCACATGCAGCACACAGACATGCATGCATAGCCCTGGGCATGGAGCATCTGTGTCCTGGTATGCAATTACAGTGGTGCCTCGCAAGACGAAATTAATCCGTTCCGCGAGAGTCTTCGTCTAGCGGTTTTTTCGTCTTGCGAAGCAACCCTATTAGCGGCTTAACGGATTAGCGCTATTAGCGGTTTAGCGGCTATTAAAGGCTTAAAGGCTTAGCGGATTAGCTGCTAAAAGGCTATTAAAGGCTATTAAAGGCTTAGCGGCTTAGATAAAGGGGGGGGAAAGCGAAAAAAAAATCTCAAGACTCGCAAGACATTTTCGTCTTGCGAAGCAAGCCCATAGGGGAATTCGTCCTGCGAAGCAACTCCAAAACGGAAAACCCTTTCGTCTAGCGGTTTTTCCGTCTTGCGAGGCATTCGTCTTGCGGGGCACCACTGTAGTACATTTCTGAGTTTGGGGCATGGGTTACAAGACACCAATTTCTGCCTAAGCTGAGTGTCCCTCTCTCCCTACCCTTCCTTCTCATCCTTTCTATCTGTGCTCTGCCCACTCATCTAGCCCTGTTGACCGCCTTTTCAACTTTGTTCTGAATCTTACTCGAGTTATGGTAGGTGGAAGGTCATATCCAGCAGCTAGGTTCCTGGGGATTCAGCTCACCTGTTCAAAGACCACTCTGAAAGGTCAGCCAATTTCCTCCCAATCAAGTAGTTAATATTCTTTAGCAGCTCCTGCCTGCTTTGCTGCTAGGGAACAGGCAGTGCTTTAAGGAGACACAGCAGCATCCAATCTAGGTTATCCATCCAACTTCCTAAAACCTGCTGTCTGGTAGCATCTAGGGACCCTTGTGTAGTGTGGAGTAGCTTTAGTTTTCAATATAAAGAATCACAACAGATCCACAATCGGAGTTTCTGGGCTGTGCTTTAGGAGACCAAAGGCAGCTGTCAGAGCAGCTTAATATAAATGTATGTAACTTGCTGTTCAGTGGCTTTGATTTTCTACATTCTGATCTCCCTGACCTCCAGATAAAGTAGTTGTGTGTTTTGGGTGGGGGGTTTCCGCAGGAAAAACTAGCATGCAAGTTAATAGTTACTCAGGCAAGCCAGGTGTTGACAAACTTTGAAGCTGCTTAATTTCAAGTCAAGGTGTGATTTGTATAATCCTGACCTCTTTATGTAAAGTCACATTTACATATATTCAAAATCTATAAATCCCAATAGAGTTGAAAACATGTAGTGTTTTCATTTGATTGGGGGTCGGGGGGGAGCCACTGAATATATTAAACTGATTTTTCAATGGCTAGCTGAGCATGCTATCAATCTTACTTGTAATATTTGTTGTTTTGTTTAACTCCTCTGCATTTCATCGAATGTGCAAGATGTGTAAAAAAAATGTTACTGAGCATGCATGGGAGGAAATGATAAAACAAGGGCATGAGCCAGCCAAAGGGAAGCACAGTTAATTACACTGAAAGCCATAAAAGTGGCTGGATTGTGTTGTGATGGTTTTAGACATATTCTTTGAATGTTTTCCAGCATATTTCTGTACTTTAGCATATACTAGGTATGGGCATGCTCCCCCCCCCCCAATTTTCCTTGTATCCAACAAAAAAGTGTACCTGTTTGATTCGTTTTGTGTTCACTTCCCTCTGTGCTTTGGGTTCTGAGCTGCTTTGTATAATGCAAACTTATGTGTTCCCTATAATGGGGAAGCTAAAAGCAGCTACAACTGCTACCCCTTTTGGCCAAAGTGGAGTAAATTTAAAAGCAGAGAGTAAATTATGCCTGCCAAATTGCAGAAAACAGGTCTAGAGATTTTCTTTTGGTGGGGGTGAAAGAGATTCAACTCCTTCCGCAATCCCTTTTAAGCTAAGGGAGCAGGGGTTGACTGGTAGATCATTTCTGCTTAATACAAGGAATAAACTGCCCAGTTTGGCATCAGCAAACAGAGAAAAATAGGGGGGATTTTTTTGTGCAAAGAGGGCAGGAGCCTGGAGCAACAACAACATCATATGTTTGTGGGATGGGGATCAGTAGCCTGATCTCCACATTCAGGTTCAGGAGAATATAGCTGAGTTCTGTGGTAAGCTTGAAGTAGAAGGCATGCATGGTCAGACATAGAATTTAAGAGACATAGACTGTTCTGGACTTGTTTAAATGTGTGGAGTCAAGAGGGAGGGTTGCAGCTTAGAGGAGGCAAGGGACCTAATCATTGGCAAATTACAACATGAAGTCATTATGAAGTAACATCCTGCAGTCAGATTATTGGTGTTCATGCCCTCCCTTTATTTTATTCTTTTAAAACCTGAATAACTTTGAAAGTACTATAAATATTTCAACAAATCTCACATTAATGGGGGCCTTAAGTTATAAAATAGGCAACCTTACAGTTGAAATACATGAAACTGGCAACTGCCAAAGACCGAAGGTCCAAAAATCAATGTACCAAGTAACTTTTGATTAGTGGGTCACCATGCTGAAAAGGTTGGGAACCACTGCTCTGGGGAATGGCAGGACGAGTTGATTTCCTTGAAATTGACATGAATATAAATCTTGCAACTTACCTGGTGACCAGGGGAGAAGCCATTATTGGAGACTGGGATCACACAGTGGGGATGATTGAAAAGCTCCAAAGCCCTAAGGTTAGGAGATGGGAAGAAATACGATAGTAATTATACAGGGTGGAAAAGGGAAAGATTAATTATCTAGAGAATTATTCCCCTACCTAGATATGAAAAAGAACTCACAGTAATTAGAACAGAAATTTCTTGCAATGAAAAAGATGGAACAGTGGTTAACCCTCTCAGTAACTAATATTCAATTCTCTGAAATATACAGTGTTGTTTGCGCAAATTTTGGCATCTTCTGGAAATGTTGGGTGGTATCCAACTAAGTCATAATCAGAGTAGATCCATTGCAATCAATGATTTCAATGGATCTACTCTGAGTATGACTTTCTTGGATACAACCTGTTGACCTCAAGACTTTAGGACAAGTCCTGGAAGAAATCTGTCAATGCTCCTTTTAAAATGTATGCTTAGTTCATTTTTATCCCACTTTTCTACACAAAAATACACCCAAAGAAGCATACAACAAGAACATTAATACTGATACAAAAATAGAAATAGAGCAAAAAGGAGCAGTAAGATGACAAACACAGGTGAAAAACAGCACAGAGGTGATATTAATCGAATGTGTGCCGGGATTTTTGTTAAAGTCTATATAGACCATCTAAAACAGGATCATTTCAAGAAAAAGAATTCCAGGAAAACAACAAGTCCCATCTCTTTACAGACCTTTCCCAGCTTCTGAGAAAGTAGTGTCTCCAGCAGCATAGTCTTTCCATGTCTCAGTCCAAAAATCCAAAGTCATTAAATTATTAGCAAGAACCACCCTGCAGCATTTGAATTTTATTTGTTGGATTCAAATGCCCTTAAACACCTACATGAGTAAACCCTGTTATGATTTGTAATGCAGGGTAATAAAATCCTGTGAGCAAGTCAAGCTCATATTTTGCAGGTGGAAAATCCTAGGAGCAGCACTTGTTATGCCCAGGTAAAGGATCAGACCCCTATGTCCCCTATGTAAGATTCCTATAGCACACGTGCAGGAAACTGGCCTTGGAACCTTCCTGCCTGCAGGACTTGGGACCGTCTCCTCCCCTCCCATTCTGCAGTAGGTTGTCATGTTTGAAGGGCTATCAGAGGACAGACCTCTCTATTTGAAGGAATCCTCTAGGGCCGTCCTGTTTCAAGACAATGAACACTAAGAACAGAAAACATCAAGGTCACTGAAGTTGCTCATCAACAGTTATCAGTACCTGGATAGCAAACTGATAGCAAACAAGTCTTCTCCACAATGCTGGTATATCCTGTACTTCTGTTTAAATTGCAATAAGTATTTCTTAATTTGCATCTATACATATAATTAGCACATGCAAATTTTATACAAAGCAGAGAACCTCCTTTGTCCTCTTTTCTGGATCTATGCTTCGTCATGGTTGGCAGTGCACAAGAGGCAACCCGCTATTCTGCAGGCTAGGAAGCCTTTGTAAATTGGAAGAGGGATGGTTTCTTTTTTCCAGGCTCTCGGTGTGAACTGAATTCTTACTGTGAGTACAGAAGGACTGGCAAAAATGCTTCTGGGCTAGTAACCTTTATGGACTTATTTGCAAGGCTGTTTTCCCCTTCCAACTGATTCCAAAGTATAAGCTTCTTCACAGTCATCTTCCTCAACTATTTTCTTGCCTTGCTTTTAATGGCCCAGGTAACAGGTTTGTCCAGGACAGGTAGACATGTGTGCAGTCCTTCTTATGCTTGATTTTGCAACAGCCAGTGGATCTTATGGGCCAATAAAATTTGCCCATATGATGGCACAAAGTCATCTCACTCCCTCTGCATAGCAGTAAGCAGAGCAGTCTCTGTGCTCTCCTTGCCTCTATCTAATAGGGTCGGTATTTAGCTGCAACAGCACTTATCATGGATTTGAGCTGCCAGAAGCTGAATTGATATACAGATGATTTAAGAGACATGATTTAGCCCATTGTGATGCTCTTGGAGTAGCATTTTTTGAGCCACCCCAGCCTCCAAACAAGATAGCCTTTTGGAGCGAAAGGCAAAGGTGGCAGCTCTCGAGTTAATGCATCGGAAGGTCAAGAGGAGAATAATTCACTTTCACCTTGCCACGGAGGGAAAGCGGCAGTAAAAGCTGCCCGCTTATTGGCAAGATTATATATAAACGTGCAGTTCATATCTCCAGCCACCACCTCAGGAGCAGTCCAGTTACAGAGTTGATGTCATCGCCCACCTCCCTAATCAAGTGGTGCTGGATTATCTTGTCCTGATAAATTGGAGCCAGCATCTACTGGAGGGCAGGAGGGAGAGAGAGAAGGAGCGGGAGAGAGAAATAAGTCTTACATGAAGTACTCTGCTAGTTTGTAAGTAATAGGGTAGCAGATGTCCGGATCAAGCCCCTGAGCTTGTAGTCTGCGGCACAACAAAATGATTTGTGGTGAGCAGTGTAAAGGTCTTTAAAGGAAGACATCACCAAGCAGGCACACAGTTAAGCATGACATATTTGAGGCCAAGGGACAAAAGGAATCCAAAATGCCACAGTGGGTATTGTTTTACAGAGGAATGCATACAGTCTGTATGGCTTATCTGGATGCATTTGCCCTAGAAGGGACCATTGTTTTGCACTGCTCTTCTTGGGCAATGCACTTGTGGTTAAAAGAAGAAAGAAACATTCCTAGCTTCACTACTGAGCATATTTCTAAAAAGAATCAAGGGCCGTTGAGCTGCTAGGCACTTGTTCATTGTTCTTTTTTTGGGGGGGTGAGTTGATTACCAGCAACTCATTCAGGGTGAATAAACAATTTTGTTCCCCTTAAACCTCAGTAAGGCTAACATTAAAATTTGCTAACCACTTAACTGTGGAGGAAGGCTTTATTTAAGAAAAAGACAAAGCAGGACTATTCTTGTTCAGATTTTGGAAATCCACTCCTTAACAGAAAGGCAGTTGTAAAAAGACAATCTGCAAATGCAATAGCTGTAGCCACTGATGTGTTGCTACATTATTGGGCGTACATTGGTTGGGTCTCTACTGTAGGAATTCAAAAGAGCGTCATTTGTGGCTGAGCATTTTGTTTTCGTACCAAACATCTGTGTTTCAATCCCTGACATCTCCAGGTAAGGTTGAGAAAGACCCTGGTCTGAAACCCTGGAGAACTGCTGCCAGTCAGTATAATGAATCAGTATAAGACAGCTTCTTATATTTCACGGGTGCTTTTACATTTAAAATCCATCATACTAGAACAGATGGCACATGTTTGCCACTCCAGGCATCAACGTATAGAGTCACTGGTTAGTTCTATTAGCCAGTTAACATATCCAGCATCTGCATATATAACACTGAGCAGGCATCAGTTGGTTGTTTATGTCAATAAACATCTATAATAGAGTGGTTCCTCAGGTTACAAACTTAATTTGTTCCAGAGGTCCGTTCTTAACCCAAAACCATTCTTAACCTGAGGTGCACTTTCGCTAATGGGGCCTCCCCCTGCTGCCGCATGATTTCCGTTCTCATCCTGGTGCAAAGTTCGCAACCCGAGGTAACTACTTCCGGGTTAGCGGAGTTTGTAACCCGAAGCATTTGTAACCCAAGGTATCACTGTACACAAAGAATGTAAGCTCCTGAACACCCACATGGTTTCTGATACACTGAGGGCCAGACTACATCAGATGTGGGAGATCTGTGAGCTAATCTCCCCCAACTGTTTGATTTCTTACTTAAAGCAACTGCAGGAGCCCCCTGGTTTGCTGCAGTGATGTTAGTCCTTTCCTCCAAGGCCATTTTCCCAGTCCACTCCCCCATACTGTTTCCCAACCCACCCGCTGCTCTTTTGAGGAAGAACTTTACACTGAGAAAATGGTGGGCATCAGAGACTGTGTTAAGAGCACACCCTCCCGCTCCTGCTCTGATGAAAATCAGGAGTCCCTGCAGTTGCAGCAAGTTATAGATTTCTTGTGTAGTTTTTCTTGGGCAGGTTAAATAATGATTAACAGTTACTTTGTTTTTGTTTTATAGTGAAGAGACTCTTCAAAGATCTAAACCTCCCATGCCTCTGGCATGCAACCTTTTGCCAATTATTTGGAAGTTGAATAAACCAATAGCTATAACCTGTGAAACTGACTACACTCTCATAATCATTTCATCCAAGCGACCATCCTTCTTACAGCTGTTTTTTCCCCTTCTTTCCAGGGAAATCCCTACATGTGCAATGAGTGTGATGCAGCCATTGATGAACTGGCGCATCCGCCTGAACTGATGTTTGATGCTGAAGGAAGGTATCCCTCCACCTATTGGCAGTCTACCACTTGGAAGGGTTACCCCCAGCCTCTCCTTGTGAACATCACCCTGTACTGGAACAAAACCATCGAGCTAACGGACAACATAGTCATCACCTTTGAATCTGGCCGCCCAGACCTAATGATCCTGGAGAAGTCCCTCGACTATGGTCGGACGTGGCAGCCATATCAGTATTACGCTACAGATTGTTTAAATGCTTTCAACATGGAACCAAAAACAGTGAGGGATTTGTCCCAACAAACAGTCCTAGAAATCATTTGCACAGAAGAATATTCTATGGGGTACATGGCAAACAGTAAAATCCTCCACTTTGAGATTAAGGACAGATTTGCGTTTTTTGCTGGGCCTCGGCTCCATAATATGGCTTCTCTCTATGGGCAGCTCGACACAACCAAGAACCTAAGAGATTTCTTTACGGTCACAGACTTAAGGATAAGACTGCTCAGGCCAGCAACAGGGGAAATATATGTGGATCCACAGCACTTGACACGCTACTTTTATGCAATCTCAGACATAAAAGTAATTGGAAGGTAAGACAAAATAAACAAATGCATTTTCATTTGCTTTTTAGACACTGTGTGTGATGGCAAGCTTCCATCTTTCCTCCCCTTTCTAAAGACAATAGCAATTTCCACTGGAATTTGGATTGTTAGCCACACTGAGAAAATTCTTTGTACATCTACATGGTTGCAACTTGATAATTTGTAAGGCTAGGTTTCAACTTCAGATGGGGGTGTTTCCCCCCCCCCACCCGCCACCATGTTGTTGGACTCTCAACTCCCATTAGCCCCAGCTAGCATGGTCAATGGTCAGGGATGATGGGAGCTGGGAACAAATAATATCTGGACAGTCACTGATTTCTCATCCCTGGGTTAGACCAGCCAGCACACTATAATTCTGAAGACTTGCACTTTGATATGGGTTTCTGCAGAAATTTTGCTTGGCAAGCCCCAGTTGCTTGGTTTACAACTGGATTTTCTCTTTAACTTGGTTAACACCTTTCCGTTTATGAGGTGACCACAGCAGGTTTGCTGCTTTGTTGCTCACTGTACACAAGCTTGGAATTAGCTCCTTCCAGTGCCACTAGTATCTAGCTTT